TTTGATCTTTGCTTTTGCCTAGGAATGCCCCGTGTAACTGTATTTTGCTTATTTTTGTATTGCTCGGGTATGCCCACAGTATCTGTACAATATAATTAACATTTACCGATAAAAAAAGGACGTGCAAGGCGGACCCAGACCTTTTGTATTGTAGGGTCAAAATTTTAAGTGTAATTTTTTTAAAAACAATATAATTGTTATGAAACGGGAAGACGAATATGACACAATATTATGAAGTATATGATCGCACAGAAAACAAGATTAAAAGCAAGAAAATAGATTGATAGAGGAATCGAATATTTGATTCAACAACCAATGGAAAAAATAATATTGTTACAGCAATCTCAACAATTCTAAACTGAACAAAGTGTTTACTATTTATACGGACTTGTCAAAAACCTTAGAAGTAACTTAAAAGATGAAAATTATGTCAAAATACATGTGAACCCCACAAAAGGAGAAAATCCCATACGGCGCTATCGCTCGAGTTACGTCTAGCACTAGGCGGGCGACCGCCCTGCCGCTCGAGCGAGAGCTAGACGACCGGCAGGCGTAGCTTCTTGCTCCAAAAGCTCGCCTACTACTCGAGCAGCTAGCTAGCAGTAGGCTAGCGAAAGTGCGATGACTTTTCTTCCCATTTTATAATTCTGATATCTTCAATACCAATTCAATTAAAACTCTACTACCCATTAGAATTTGGGTCGAACTACAATAATTCCCCCTTGAACCAAATTTTAGTGCAACGAACGAAGTTCTAAAATTTCTTTACCTGAAAAAAAAAGTTTGTGTACAATGAAACAACTAAACTCTTCAACGCGACCTATACTTCTCCAATCACACAAAAATACTTTTCTTCTTCCACAGTATCCAACACGGATACGGGAACCCAACCACCGGGTTCCCAAAAAAATTCACAAAGAATTTAGAAATTACCAAATAGGGTCGAAGCACACCTTGTAGCAGAATCAACTCTTAATCTTTTACCAAAGGTCCATTTCTAGTTTCGACACCTTCTAAAATCCTAAAAGCACGTGCAACCAAATCAGCATCCCAGTACCTATCTCCAATGGATCTATCCCTAGCAGTCGAATATAATAGAACTGTTGACAATGGTGACAAAGCGGAATTCTCCAATATGGACTTAGAGTAGAATCCCAAAGGTACTGTACTAAACTGAATATCCACTACAGTACTAAATTTGTGCTGACTTTTCTTCACCGATTCTGTCTGACCTTAAAGATGTCTAGTCGGTACCTTTTTCGTCCCTCCAATACGACACAAATACTCTTTTGGACCTTGAAGATTCTACCTGATCCAAAGAACATTTGCTCCTTCGAATCAAGAGTACCCAACAAAATGAGATATTTCTTAAAAAATGGAATATGTCGAACGTGATCAAGTGTTATACATGTTCCATCTATCAGCTTCAATCTGACTTTTCTAATATCAGCTACCCGACAAGATTCATTGTTACACATGACAACGACACCTTGCGTCACTCTTTCATACGTTTCAAACAAATCTCGATTAGGACACATATGAAATGCACAAGCTGTATCCAAAATCCACCCCTCGGCAGGTTTGGATTAAACGTCAAAAATCACCAAGAGATCTCCATCACTCAAATATTCCTCAGCTATGTTGGTCTCGTCCGAAGTGTTTGATTGCTTCTCATAATTTGTAGTTGAATTACCTTTGCTCTGCAACTTTATACAATCTCTCTTGATCTGTCATTTTTTCGAGCAATAAAAACAAACCTAATTATTGAAACTCGACCTCGACTTACCCCTTCTCCAATCACCATAAACCACAAGAGCTTCTCCATATATGGACTCAGATTCAACCAGATGCTTCACCTTCTCCTTTGAGAATAGGCTATCATACATATCTTTAATGGTGAGAGTATTATGATTATACAAAATTGTGTCCCTAAACAAAGTAAATGAAGCAAGCAGCGAACACAATAAGGTTAAGGCCAAATTTTCTTCATCATACTTTACCTCTAATGTCTCTAAATCAACAACGATCTCTTTGAACACAACCAGATAATCTTCCAAGGATTCATCTTTTGTCATGCGATGAGAATACAACATCTGCTTCAAATACAATTTGCTTGTCAGACTTTTAGTCATGCACAATTGCTTCAGCTTTGACTCCAATGCGGCTGCTATATTCTCCTTCAAAACGTCAGAGAATATTGTTATAGAGATAAAGATGAATCTATGAAAGTGTCTTTCAATCCTTAGGTTGTTTATCCTCTGTTATTCAAGTTGTGGGCATCTTGTCAAATCCTAACAATGCATCATCTGAATCCATCTGTGCCAATACAACTCGCATTTTCACTTGCCACAACGAAAATCATGTATTGTGATCCAAAAGCGAAATTTCAAACTTCACGGCTGTCATCAATAATAGAAACCTCAAATAAATGCACAACATTGCTCTGATACCACTTGTTATGAAATGGAGCGAAGAATATGACACAATATGAAGTATATGATTACACAGAGGAAACACAATTAAAAGAAAGAAAATAGATTGATAGAGGAACCGAGTATTTTATTCGACAATCAATGGAGAAAAGACGAGGACGCCTCTTTTAAGACGTAAGTTTGACGCATAGTTTGGATCATTCAATATGACAACAATATAGTTCTCGAAACGAGCTACTAGATATGTAGATGATTTATAGATTCAGATACTATATGATTGTCGACAAATTTTGAAAGTTAGCGTATTATCGAAATTCTCGAAATACGAATTTGGAATAGACTACTTTGATGCGTCGTAACTTTTGCTACGATACAACTAACGAGCAAACAACTAGGCATGAACACTTTGAAATTGCGTAAAGAATACAGCATTTCAACTTCATTTGACATCCCGAAATGAGTGCATCAATGTAGGTCATAAAAGGATCAAAATAATTATTTTCTAGGAAAAAAACTAAAAAATTTGTGGGGTCACACATGAGCCCCATGCGTGCCCGTCACTGAAGATGTGTACAATCTAGCGAGAATGTATAACTAGAGGCAAATAGATGATGGGATGGACAACCCATGTAGAATTTTGAATTTTGTTTCTCATAAATAGTTCATAAAAAAATAGAGGCTCTGTGGTGCTTTGTCTAATTTTTTTTTCTTTCGTGGTTTTTAAAATAAAGTTCAACCTTCGATCATAGTAGGAAAGACATTGTTTTCATTCTTTAAAAAGACATCCCAATCTAGTGAAAGTATACATCATGATGGATTGATAGAAAACCAATTTTTAACCCTATCATGCAATACCTTAAGTGAAAGTGTCTATTATACACTTATTTGGGGATTTAAGTTATGATATACGTAGTTCTTTTGATGAAATACATCCTAATTCATATTATATTGTGTCTAATAGGTAAAACTCATGATTTGATAAATAATTGAAAAAAATAAGCAAAAAATAAGAAAAATGGTGAAATCAAAACTATAGAGACTGAAAGCAATAATTAAAAAGTTGTGTCGGATTGCAAGACGGCGAAGTAAGAATGCCTAGAGTCAATTGGAGTTGAAGAGAAGTCAACAAAATGAGAAATTATTGGAAATGATCAAAATACATACGAGAGAAAGTTCAGCGACCAAATTTGCTAAATTAGTCTAAAAAATTTGTACCATGCTTACGCATGGGCTAGCAAGCCTTGCTTAAACAAGGTCACAAAAAGTCATTTTTGAAACTAAATCACGTGTATTTTGCTTATGCACCAAATGAACTATATTTAAGCAATGTTCAATTTCGAATAAAAAATTTTGTTTACTTATTTTGTTTTGGAAACATTTGGTATGCAATCTTTTGATATTCTATAAATACCATAAGCCTTCCAAAACGTGGATAACATTCATTCAACCAAAATTTCATCATATTATACATATTTTGGAGGGGAAAAACAAGTCTATAAATAAATTCAAAGGAATTGTACAATATTTTTGAATATTATCCATTCAAAATCAAGATTTCATTTAAGAAAGTGGAGTTCTATACATTCTTCTATATTTTTCGATCTGGGTGACATATTTTCATTATTTCTTGTATAATTCAACAATTAGGATGGTTGCGTAGATTTTTTCCTTTGTATTGAATGAATGATAAATCCTATGGTTTGTTTATTTTAATTTAAGACAATTGGTTTTGTAATAATTTTTTTTTTTTTTTTTTATGTTTCTTGATTGGTTTTGCATCCCTATTGAACTATTTGATTCTTTGATCATCAATTAGATAGTAAGTTACTTGTTGCAGTATAGGAATATTCATAATAAGTCTAGAATAAATAATACATGGATAATAGGCGTTAGGAATAATATCTATGACATATGCAATCATGTGTGATAAATCCTGTAAATCAATGCATGTTTTTTTTTTTTTTTTTTTTTTTAAATTAAAATTGAGGGATCAAATTGAAACAAATAAACATACTTCAAAGACAATTTTAGAACCGAATAAAATTTCATAACTAAGATGAAATTTCGTTATAAGAGTGTGACTATAAGCTTTTTTACTTCATAATAAATTGTAGAAATTCAGTAGTCAATACCATATTTATAAAAAAATATGGCATGGTTAGTTATTGTAACAATATATTAGGTTTTCTGTTAAATTATACATCTGATCGGAACCTTAGGTCTTTGCGGATTCTCGATTTCTTACGGAGAGCCTTGTACTTCTCACTCCAATGGATATGTACGTTGATCCTAATCAAATCTTCTAATCAAAGCTCTATCTTTTTAGTACAAATCAACTCATTGAAAGATCCTTGATACATAACCGAAATCTTCAAGAGCAAGGACAGAAAAAGTTGAGGCAGACAAACAATCTAAACTGTACATACAGGAAAAAGGTTACATGAAATTTTAAAAGAAGAAAAAAACAGAATCTATAAACTGATCTTTACAAAAATCAAAAAATTTTCTCTCAATTCCAAGCATTAGTACGATTAAAGCAAATGTTACACTATTAATAGGATTAATAAATTATATTGCGCCACCGGAAATTGGCGGACCTCTCTTGATGCTGTTCATATGGGTTGTTTCATAAACAGGTAGCCCACTTGAGTAGTAATATAAATCATGATTTGGTAAATCAAACAGATCAGAGCTTGAATCACTATCCGCACCATCGTCAAAATCATTGATCTTTCTAAATTCTTTCTCTTCTGATGGAAACTGACGTTCAGACCAGTTTTTCCTACTCCTATTTGAATATCCAAGATTAGAATTCTTGTTCTTCTCAAATATTCCATTGCTGAATCTGATTTTGTCATCGGAAAAAGCGTAATCTGTGTGTCTTTTTGTGGGATTACGCGTATAAGGTGCAGGTGGAGGTGTTCGAAAACCAGAACTTGAAGATGAATAAATGGACTTAGAATCAGCAGTATTTGTAATTGTGTGAAAAAAACTAATGCTGCTTCTTCTTTTCCTTCTGCAACCAGGGCTTTCTTCCTCACTTTCCTTAACAGACTGTGTAGAAGATTTAGATTTCTTCTTGGAAGATGTTTGATTGAAAAGAGAATTCAAGAAATGGGCAAGTTTGCCACCGGGAGAACTTGGCTTTTTATGCTTTTTCTCTTTCATTTTCTTTTCCATTTGCGAAGGAAGTGAATGTCTCAACATCATCGTCGGGGGCACGTCTAGGCTCATTCTTCGAGCAGTTTTCACTGCAGACTGCCTGTCTTCTCCGATGATCTTATGTGCAAAAGTTGCACTTGGAACTTCATTGGTGCCACCAGAGAAATATCGTGCAGCCTCGAACACGTTGAGCTCGCCTGAGTCATTCATCCGGTGGAATGATTTCTTGTACATCTTCTCCGATTTTATGCACAAGAGGAAGTTTGTTTGAGAGATTTTATTTAAGGGATAAATATATTTATAAAGCAAAATTTGGATGGTAGGCAAATATTGAGTGTTTTCGCAGTGGGGGAGGGGTGATGGAGGAAGGTTTTTGAAATATGATCAAGTGTAATCGTGGATAGGTCCCCTTTTATAATTGCACTGAATTGCTCTTTCAATAATTACATATGATATGGGGTTTATCTAAATTCAATTCATTACTTTTTCTTTTAGTTTTCTGTTTAAATAAATATGTTTATAACCTTCTTAATAGTTAAACTTGAAGAATAGTGAGAATAATCACAATTTGAAGTGACATTTGGTCCCCAAGCCCAAATTTTGAGAATATATTTGTAAAAAAGTGATTTTTTTGGGGGAAAATATATGGTAAAAAAGTAAAAAAAATACTTATGTTCAAAATTATTTTATAGGGATAACATATTGTTCAAAATGAGTTTGAAATAATGGGATTCAAATATGGACTAATGATAAAGCCAATAAAGTGATTCTCATATCCATTTATTTTAATTGACATTATCATTTTACCTCACATCATGTCCCCAAGCCCAAATTTTGAGAATATATTTGTAAAAAAGTGATTTTTTTGGGGGAAAATATATGGTAAAAAAGTAAAAAAAATACTTATGTTCAAAATTATTTTATAGGGATAACATATTGTTCAAAATGAGTTTGAAATAATGGGATTCAAATATGGACTAATGATAAAGCCAATAAAGTGATTCTCATATCCATTTATTTTAATTGACATTATCATTTTACCTCACATCATGTATCACATGATATGAGAATGATCTTCACTTTAATATAGAGTATTTCTTATTGAAAATAGATTCTATTTCTATGTAATGTTTGATGAGAGAATAAATCTAGATTTATATTTTTGTTGACATTGAGGACGACATTCCCTCCTATGCGTCAAAATTTGGTCAGTGGTGCAAAAGAATGTTGTAAAAATCAATGTTTACGATGGAAGCCATGTCAAATGATGTCAAATTTAATGTAAAAATTGATGTACATGTAGCATTTGACAAGAATGTTTAATCTTATATTAAAACTCAGTAGTGAGAACTGCATATTATGATTTGCAGATTTATGTGAAAAAACTGAATCGAAACAGACATGCCCCTAAACATTCAAATCTACTAAAAACAGACTTTTCACAATCTTACATCTGGGTTCAGAAAATAAATATTTGAACCAAACAAAATCCATATCATTTGTCTTGACAAATATTCAATTGGAATCAAACTATCCATTGATGGATTTGATTTTCATTGTTTCTCGCGAACATCTTCTTCTACTTGAACCCTCATTTGAATAATATTTTGCTCTTCACCCGAAAATGGAAACTGGAGATTTTCGTTGAAAATATTTTTTCCATAGTTATTGTATATGAAATTAGACAAATAAATGAATGTTAATATATTCCAAATAATATTTTCAATATGAAAATGACAATCCCAATATTCTATTCAATCACAATAGAAAAC